TCCAACCACAGGCCCACTTACCTAAGCAACCCTCCCAAGTCCCACCAATTACCTAGGTAACACTCCCCACCACCCAAGAACCTTTTACCCTGCCAATATCCTCCTTCTATATTTTCTAACATCCTGCTTGAACTAAAACCAGGCTCTTGGCCTCTTCTCCCCCTCCCCTTTACCCCATACTACTGACTATATAAGCTAGCCTGGAAAAAATAAAATTTGTCACTTGATCAGAATCCTGTCTTGTGGTCATTCTGTCACGTCTCTTGTCCCCATTCCCCTCCCTGGACTTCTTGCCCTAGGCTGCTGTATCACGGGTTGGGACAACTACATTCTCCCAAACTCCTGTCATGGGAAAGTTGGTGCCCTCTTCCCAGGAACTCAGGTAGAGAGGTCACCTTTAATTCCTTTTCTTATCCAAGAGCTCCTTTCTGCTCTTTCCCGAGTCCAGACCTGGGCAAGCTTCTGTGTGCAGTAGTATGAGTGGTTTCTGGCCCATTGCTATGGCTGATGCCTTCTTCTCAAGAACTTTGGTCCCGAAGTCTTCCACTTGACCTCATGCCTTGAGTGCAAGACTTTTTTTTTGAACCAACCTGCCCCAGGTAAGCTTTCTTCATATTTAGCTTAAATCTATCAGTCCGATTAAAGTCCATTGCAGTATGTTCATGGATATTTTGTTTTTCATTTGGAAATAGGATTTTCACATAAGTAACTGGGCACGGGTTTTTAAATGAAGCCACCCTTAATTTAGGCCTTAAATTCAAATATTGGTGATATGTTTGAGAAAGAAGATGGTGTTTGAGTCCATGGAGAGAGACACGGAGTAAGTTGGTGTGAAAAAGAAGACCGAGCCTCGAGTTCTGTCATTCTAAGCCAAAGGATACAGGAAGTCACTGGGAACTAAGGAAAGATTATCTCCAGAGCCCTTGGAGGGCACATGGCAACTTGATTTCAGCCTGGTCTCCAAACCTGTGTGTTACTATTGCTGTGATGAAATGTGGGGTTTGTGTTGACAGGTGAATAGCTTGTGAATTTAGTTAAAGGCCAGGGTAAGGAGTCAGGGGTGGAAGATAGAAAGGGGGGTCATTTTGCAATTCAGGGGTGCGTGGCTTTGTAGCTTTATTTTTTGAATATTTAACAACAGTGAAATGTTTATATTGTTTGTTTAAGATGACACACGTTTGTCATTGTGGGAGTTATTTCCCTAAATGCCTGCAAACACCACTGGCCCATCTATCATCTCCACTTCAGAGATGAGGGTCATCTTTCGAGACGAAGATTCTGATTCTGCCCAGCCCTGCAGTGGTAGGAGGTAGAGCCAGGACTGAGAGTCTGTGAATGTTCCCTGGGGTTCTGATTCTCTGTACTCGGCAGGTGCTGTAGAATGAACGGTAAAAGGGCAAAGAGCCTGGAGAGATTTCAAAGCGTAGGCATGACAAACTCATGCCTGGTATCGTGTGGAGGAGTCTGTCCCCTACCTGTTTATGGAGTTGAGCTGAGAAGCAGAAGAGTCAAGTGACAGTGAGGCACTGAGCCCTGGGTGTCTCGTGCTTCTTGCCACTTCCTCTTTGAGCTTCCAATATGAACTGTTTGAGTTTTATCCTTAAGTATATGAACTTTGGGGTCCCTTTCATACTTTTGCCTTGACACTACTTGTGGGAGTTTGGGCAAAATACTTGAGTGTCCTTGACGTCTTTGTGAGGTTGCTGTGATTCTACCTCAACCTGAGCTTAAGAAACACGCTATTCTCATTTCCAAGTGTCACTGCACAGTGTGGCCCAGTTGATACCCCCTTTCCCCCTTCAGCCACTCTCTCTCCTCCTGTTTTTCATCTCTCTACAGCTGTACTTTCTAGTTTAGGAGTTCTCCCATCAAAATTCTATGGACTGGATACTTAAACCTTAGTCTTTTTTATGTGTTTGTGTGTGTGTGTGTGTGTGTGTGTGTGTGTGTGTGTGTGTGTGTGTGTGAATGAAGGTGCTGCAGAGGCCAGAGGAGGGTGTTGGGTTCCCTGAAGCTAGTGTTACGGGTGGTTGTGAGATGTCTGACACGCAGGCTGGGAACTGAACTCAGGTTCTCTACAAGGGCAGTAAGTGATCTTAACTGCTAAGCCATTTCTCTAGCCTCTTCTCTTCTAATGCTTGGGTACATTTCATCCAGTCCTCTGCCTTCTGTTATTATCCTTTTAGCTATCTGCCTAGAGCTTCCCCACAAGTATGTCTGGCTGAGTCACCTCAGTGAATAGGTTAAAATTCCCAGCTTTCAGAAGAGTGTTCTCTTAGATACAAGGATTCTCAGTTTCTGTATCAGGATTTGTACTTAGTGTAACTTCTTGGCTCTGGATTCAGTTGCTTTTCTTGGTCATCATTTTCTGCCTTACTGAAATCGACCATTATCTTCTAGTTCTGTGGTTCTCAACTTTCCTAATGCAGCAACTCCTTAATACTGTTCTGTAGCAGGCTTTCTTGGACTGCCACCCCCCAAATCATGGCTTGTTTCTAGCTAGCTTAGCTTTTTTGTTTTAAACTGAAATTATCCCATTTCTATTAATCCATGTGCTGCCCTGGGGCTCATTTACCTCATCTATGCTCTGTCCATCCTGCTTTCCTGCTTCCTCCGTGTCTAGGTGGCTGCCCCCTTTGCTCTCTGCCCTCCAGTCCCATCTATCCCTCCTCTGCCTAGATATTGGCCATTCAGCTTTTTATTAGACCAATCAGGTGCCTTAGGCAGGCAGGGGAAAACAGCAACACATCTTTACAAACTTAAACCAAACTCTATTCCACCACACAGTTCCTCATGTTCAGTGATCCCCAACCATACAATTATTTCATTGCTATTTCATAATTGCAATTTTGCTAGTTATGAATTGCAATATAAATATGTTTTCCAATGGTCTTAGGCAATTGCTGTGGAAGAGTCACCCAGGGTTAAGAACTCCTCCTCAAGCCAGAGGTTCCTTCTTGCAGTCTCCAAATGCCAAGTCACCAAATCTGTTTAACTGTTCCTCTTGCCCCTTTTAGCCATCACTCCACCTGTGTCCATTTCTCCTTTTGTCCTAGCTGAGGCCACCATCAGCTGTATAAAAATCCACAACCCATGAATAATACCAGTTTTATGGCTGACTTTTCCTGGAAATACCTGATGTTATGAGAATCTTCTTTCCTTTAAATTTACTTATTTGTGTGTGTGTGTGTGTGTGTGTGTGTGTGTGTGTGTGTGTGAGAGAGAGAGAGAGAGAGAGAGAGAGAGACAAACAGAGAGAGAGAGAGACAGAGACAGAGAGAGACACAGAGAGAGACAGAGAGAGAGATAGAGAGTGTGCGAACACTATGACCCAGGGCAGATGACAACTGTCAGGAGTTGATTTTCTGCTTCTGGGGATTGAATTCAGGCTTGTTAGCACGTGACTTTACCTCCTGAGCCTCTGGCCAGGTCTGTTATGAGAATTTTCAAGAGAGTGAATTCTTTTTAACTGATTTTTTTTTTGTATTGTCTGATCTGAAAGTGGAGTACTCCTTCTGTACTTTAATCATTGTTACTCTTTTATTTATGTGTATATGTCTATGTAACATATGCCATATTTGTGGGTGTCCAGAAGCCATTAGAGGGCATTGAATCCCTGGAGCTTGAGTTACAGGTGGTTGTGAGCTTCCCAAATGAGGTTGTTGGGTACTAGGAACCCAATTTGGGTCTGCTGAAAGAACATTACTGAGCTATCTTTCTAGATCCTATGTTTTGATACTGACATTAAGAAAATGATACTACTTTGTCTTGGTTTCTCAAACCAAAAAGATATCCCAAAGGTTTAATAGGCCTAAGATGGTGTATGGAAGACCGTGGTAAGAATGGAGGACAGAGGCAGGAATGTCAAGTGTCAGTGCTGTCATTACATTGCCTGTGGCAGCTGAGGAAGCCCTAAAGGCTCTGGAGAATTCCTCACAGTCTTCCCAGATCACAGTAAGAGTCAAATTCTGTTGCCTCTACTCTGGGAAGTTTTGAGGGTTGGGGGATGGTGTGTGTGTGTGTGTGTGTGTGTGCGCGTTGTCCTGTCCCTAAGGTGGATGCTGTGTGTCCTGGAAAAGCCTGGTTCCTGGCTGGGTGAGAGGAATTTGGTTAAACAATCTGTTATTTCCTCAGAAAGTAAGCATACACTCTTTTTTCTTCCCCTATGAAAGACCAGGCCTAAGGCAGTTGAGCGGAGAACGTGACTTAATTCATTCATGGTCAGTGTCCACAGTTGTTGGGTAGCAGCCTTGGAAGAGAGACTGTGAGGCAGGCAAGTCAAAGGTCTCAAAGGCTTCCCTTTGATAGGAAACCAGAAAAAAATTAAACAAGAGAGGGCTTCCATTTTCCCACACCAGCCAAGAGAGGCCAGGTCTTGCACTGCCCAGTGTAAACACCCTCCCCCCTTTCCTTTTTTCCATTCTCTCCTACTTCCTGTAGTCTGATTTTGGCAAGCCAGTTCTTACAAGTCATAGAAAGGAATGAAACAGCCCTAAAGTGAGACGGGCCAAGGCAGGCCATAGCTATTCCTACTAAGCTAGGGACCCCTGATTGCCTTAGAACATGACACATGCAGGCTGTGGTCATCCAGATTTCTGGTGTGGGTGGGGCAATCTTGGCTATCTTTGGTATCTAAATTGGTTGGCATCTTGCTGTTATATCTGCCTTAGTTTCTATTCAAGCGTGTAAATCTGCATGTTTATGGGTCTGTTAGCTACTAATAGCTTTGATGTACTAGAAAGTCACTTATGTTCTGAGAACTTTGTGGTTCAATCTTTGAATTGAATTTCAATAAGACGATGGGTGCAAATGTGCTGTCTCCACACAGCTGTAAGCCACTGCTAAACTTCCTGCTTATATCTGAACAGGTGGGAAGGACCTGATCGTCCACTGTGACTCTGAAAAGGAAATGAGGCCCTGAACAGAAACTAAGTGAGCTGGGTAAGTCGACTGGGATCCTGTTAGTTTATTTTCTGTTGCTGTAACAAAACACCCAAGGCTAAGTTCTTTAGAAAGATGTATATTTGGCTTGCAATTCTAGTGACTGGATGCCCCAAACAGCACGGTTCTTGGCTGCTTTACAATACTGTGGAGAAACAGAAAGGGACCTCTCCACATGCAGAAAGGGCAAGCAGATATGATGGTCTCACTTTTATGATAACTAGCTTTTGCTAGAACGATTTCCTGAGGGTATACATCAATTAATTATTAATAATTAATAATGATGTCCTCATATTCTACTAATGATTCCCTCACCTCTCAACATAGCCACACTGGAGACTTTTGAACGGCTTAATTTTGAACCCAGAAAACTCAAACCATAGCAGGGCACTCCAACAGAATGTCATATATTGGGTAGTTTAACCAGAAGAAAGTTTCTCACAATTCTGGAGACTGGACATACAAAGCCAAGTAGTATTGAGCCTTTCTCCCTGGCTGGCATTGGCCACCTTCTTTCTGCATTCCTGTTCCCCCTGTGTGTTCTAATACTCATTTACAAACACCATTTTGTAATAGGCACAGCTGATTTAAAGGTTCTAGTTCCACATTGAGGTACTCAGTATAGGGCTTCAACAAAAAAATGGGGGGACCAGGAGCATAATTCAGTTCACAAAAAAAATCTACTGGAAAAATCCCAGCGGGGGCTAGGGCTGAAAACTAGGAGAAACACCATCAGGAGTAACCACAGTCCCAGTCCTCGGTTTCCCGCTTTGTTCACTCCTTTCAAAAGGGAAATATTTAAAAAAGTATTTCTGTTTCAGTTTCTCCACTCCTCAGTGACTCAAGTGTCAATATCAAGAGGATTAGGAAACGGATGTAAAGCAGGTTTTCTGAGACTCTGATCCCTACCCCAGTTAACAGGCTGTCTTTGTTGCCCACATTTTCTTGGTGCAGAGCAAATTTTAGATCCTCCTCACAGCTCTGGGGGCTCCCAAGTGGCAGAGAGGTGAAAGAGCATGTGTCCCTGGGTCACTGACTACCAGTGTCATGAATTCAAAGAGCCTTGGGCTGATAATGCCTCAAATATTTAGACAAAGCTTAGTTTTGCTTCCTGAAAGACTTCCAGCAAGTTTCAGGCAGTTGACAAGAGGGAAAGTACCTGACAGTGACCTGAGTTATTTACTGTGGTCTTTCAGTCTCAGGTCCCACAGCCACCCCTGCAGAAGGCCCTCCTCAGGCCAAGGAATAGCAGATCCTCCTTGACATCCATAGCCTATTTCTGTACAGAAAGGTCTGTGATAAATAATGCATATACTTATACATATGCATCCACCTGTGCATATATACATATGCATATATATTATACAGAAGGGTTGGCAATTTAAAAGTAAATTAAATGGAAATAAGGGGAGAAACTAACCAATTGCTACAGAAGCCTAAGGTCAGATCATAGTAATAATTGTTGAATTCCAAGAGGCTAACAAGGATAATTCCTAAAGTGTTAGAGGAAGAACAGAGGGAAGGTGAATGTCTCTGGGTATTTCTAATAGTGGTCCAACGACCATGAGCAAACAGACATTACCTAGCAGAGGTAAGGGAAGGAGCCTCTTGTCTTCAGCAGTCTAGAAATTTAGTGCGGCAACTTTGAGGTGACTGAAAGCCAGGTCTCCTGCATGTTCAGCTAGTTTAGAAAGGCCCGCTCTAAGAAAAAAACAAGCAACAGAACAAAACAAAAACATTTAAAGCACACACCTCTAATCCCAGCACTCGGGAGACAGAGGCAAGCGGATCTCTGAGTTCAAGGACAGCCTGGTCTATGGGACCAGTTCAGTAAAAAAGGAAGCAAAACCCGTTGCGGAAAATAGAACAAAAAAGGGCCGACTCTGCTCGAGCTAGGTAAGCGAGGTTCAAAGTATCTGATCATGACCGAAACCCCCCATATACTCAGCAACTCCTAGGTGCTGGGTACTCAGTACTAGGCGTGACGCTCACTGTAGGAAACTTCCGGTCAGGCTTACATGACCGATCCTTGAAGAGGCCTGAAATGCAGTATGTCCCAAGGGTCTGCATCAGGGACACAGTAGTTCCTGCCCTATCTCGATATAGCAAATACAACGGTTTTAGACTGCACAGAGTTTAAGGATGCGCAGAGCAGGATACTTTTACACTAAGAGACCAGACGATGGGTGGATGAGGTTAGAAAAACAAAACCAAGGTTTACAAGCTTTCCTAGAAACACTTAAGGGCTACAGGTGCAACACCAAGAGAGTACCAAACAGCGATCTCAGCAGCTCCGCAAACACCCCGAGGACAGAGGCGAACAGCTCCTTCGGGGCACACGTGGTGGCTCTGAAAAGAGCCTTTTTACGTTGATTTCCTAGAAGCGTAACTTAGGCCCGCTCCCCGCGGATGCGGCGGGCCAGCTGGATGTCCTTGGGCATGATGGTGACGCGCTTGGCGTGGATGGCGCACAGGTTGGTGTCCTCGAACAGCCCCACCAGGTAGGCCTCGCTCGCCTCCTGCAGCGCCATGACGGCCGAGCTCTGGAAGCGCAGGTCGGTCTTAAAGTCCTGCGCGATCTCGCGCACCAGGCGCTGGAACGGCAGCTTGCGGATCAGCAGCTCGGTGGATTTCTGGTAGCGCCGGATCTCGCGCAGCGCCACGGTGCCGGGCCGGTAGCGGTGCGGCTTCTTGACGCCGCCCGTGGCCGGCGCGCTCTTGCGGGCAGCTTTAGGCGGAAAGGGAGTGGACACGCGACAACCTACACTTCGTTCGGGGAAGGGACCGAAAGACCGTCCACCGTGACACAACTCTTTATAATCTGAACCAGTGGGTGGCTCTGAAAAGAGCCTTTGAGTTCGCCTACGTCCCCCCCGAGCGGCGGGCGGCACCGCCCC